TTCAAAGCTCGCCAACACAGTGGCGGGCTTTTGAAGAAACAATCTCAATCCCAATATAAAAATGTACTTATTAGTAACTGTGTAGTAGTACAGTAGTAGTACAACTGTGTATAACTTTAATTAACAGCACTAGACATATACAAATTATGCTGTTTAATGTAAATGAATTCAAGTACTGGTACTATAAATCTATTCCTTGCCTCAAGTATGAATCTTCATCTTTTTATTTAGTCGGAACTAAAGAAAAAACTTCAAAACAGTAAATCAATTATATATGTCAGGTACCTTCTGGGGCACAATATAACTATTATCCTGAAATGGTGTTTACCTTCAAATTAATGTAATTTGACATCTACAGATTTCAATTCTGTCGTCAGAATTTTTCTGTTGTTTTGTCTCTTTCAAGTGAACTTATTAATATAAAAGAGCAGACGGGAAAGCGACTACCGCCGCCAATGAATGCCTGCAACTCAGGAGTCACAAGCGCGTTGCCGGACTTTGAGGAAGGAGTACCTTCTTTTCTAGAAGGTCGTATCGGTCCGGAAATACCGCAGCCGATAACTTGTTCTAAAGATTGGTAGTTCAAGGCAAAAAGTGGTGGAGTGTCAATTATCCAAGTTTATATATTAGTCCGAATAATTCACCGGAGCACTCTCCATGATACTCGTATATATGATAGAGAATGCAGCGCGAAGCTACATCTCTACGTTACGCATATAGATCGAGCCGGTTAGAGATCTTTTGGCTATCGACGATTCGAGTCGCTATTCTTTGGATACGGTGCAGAGGGAGAAGCGGTACTGAGGTGCACCTGCATAGAGATGACAACAGTATTCCATATGCGGCCAGACTTGCGCCTTATAGAGTTGGTGGCGATGGGCTGGAGTGTAATACTGCCTCGATCTGTTCAGCACACCGAACTTTTTCGAGGCCAATTTGACTTTACTTTATAAATGACTGCGAAACTGGACTTCGCCCGACATGTCGATGCCTAGGATTCCGATACTGGCTGAGGCAGTTAGGGAGGTACTCTCAAACCGAGGCGATATGGTATATTTTTTGCAATGAACGCCCAAACCTGAGTCTTTTTTTGGTTGAAATGGACTAGATTCTGTAGACCCCAATCTGAAACATCTTTTAAGAAAGTTTCAGTTTTAGACACAAGTTTGTTTCGACTCTCGATGACGTTTTCCCGAGAAATTTTGGGGCGGCCGGTATAAGGCATCTCCCGTGATAATATCTGCATAGCAATGAATACTACTAGTTCGCAACATATCATTGATATGCACAAGTGTGGGTGATAGCACATAGCCTTGCGAGACACCAGCATTTAGCATTTACTGACTTCAGGTCGAAGCATGCACCATCGATAACGACCTTAATGCTTCTTCCTACAAGGAAACTAGTGACCCAGTTACATAATTTCTCGGGAAGCCCATAGGAAGGGAGGCTAGGCTCTCTCGTGGTCTCGATATCTTTAAAATATCTTTAGGCCTCTCCTTAGAAAGGAGGTTTTGACCTACTATACCACGCTGTCCAGACGGGTTGGTATAGGATTTGTTTCAAGTTTTGCTTCTCTTTGCAATACTGTTGTCCTGTGTAGTCTCCTCCCTTAGTCGGCTTTTACGACACCCACGGGATGAATAGGGATGGCGACACTCCGTATTCTTAATCCGTCACGACTCAGACACGGAAAATATAAATATTAACCATTTAAATTTCACGACGGCTTACCTGTGATCTCTGCCATGGTATAAGTAACTTCAGAAAGAAATTTCTTTAAACTCTGGGCCAGTTGTTAAACAGTTTTGTTGGTAGAAGCTATTATAATGTTCAAATAAATATAAAATGTTATCTTAACGATGCATAATATTTCTTTAAATAGGTCGTATCCACCCGGGTCACGTTTTGCCAATGCAACCTTCCATAAGCCCTAAACTCAAGGTGAACATATCCACTTTGACATTGATAAACAGAGAGCTTTTTAATATTCCAAACTATTTACAACCTTGTTGATTCGATTTGAAACTGATATTGAATTCGATATTCGTAATGTATTGCATGGATAAGGCTATTCTGTGTTACCTCGGATGTGCCTTGAGGCATTTGTCGGTGCACTAAAACATTTGTGTTATCCGTGTTAGTCACTTGATATTGCAACTGCTATTATAGATAGGAGCACTGCATAATTTAACTAATGTATTATCTGGGTCATGTCTAAGACAGATGCCGAGTGGTTTTACAACCTATAAGATGACCATAGTACTACAAACATTCCATAGGGCGTATTCCAGAGAGCTTTTTAACAAATCCAACATTTAACAAATCCAGAACATTTAACAATCCAGAACATTTAACAAATCCAGAATATTCTTCGAGTATCATATTTCTTTTGGGTTCTATTTCCAATATTATTGGGTATAATTTGGAAAAAAGTGTAACGTAATAAGGTAGACCACGAATAAAAGATGTTCGAGACATTCTAGGAATACCTATCGCTTTCGTGGTCAATATTTGAATAGGTAATAAATTACGATTTGATTTATCTATTAATATCAGTATATTATACAATTTGGGGTATGAATGGTGTCCTGATTGCGACAAACATTAAAAGCTCACAAATTTCTTAGAGCACATAGAAATAAGTAAATAAGTTAATTTATTGAGAATATTTCTTTTATATCAGAAAACATTTTGTATCATTATTAAGTACCTACTGTTGTTTAAATTATTTAGTATGAATTATCTGTCTTGTGTTAAGAACGTGTTTGTACTGTATTTATTTCATAATTAGGTTCACCATCGACTTTTTACACTTTTAAAAATATGTACATAACACATTCACAAAAAGAATATAGAAGAAAAGCGTAATAAATACTAATGGGTAAACACCTCATGCTTCGTCTTTTTACGGTGTAGGAGGGGCAAACTAGCAGACGGGTCACCAGATGGTAAGTGACTACCGCCGCCTATGAACATCTGCAACTCAAGAGTCGCAAGTGCGTTGTCACCCTTTGAGCTTCCCCCTCTTATAAGCCTTATAAGCGGGAGGGTGTGTGGTCTCCGGTAAACTCCCTTACTCGGTAAAAGCAACAAAATAATGCCGTGATATCAATCCGGTCCGTCCTGCCCATTTCTGCCGAAGCATGGCTCTCCAACGATTAATTCCAATACACGTTAACTACCTCATAAGGTATTAAATATATATATTATTTAAAATCAATGATAAAAAGTTAACCAACCAAATTATTAAAAAACAGTTTTACAGAAACTTTTTTTAACTTAGGTATTGCATAGAACAAATTTACAATGCAACAGATTCGTAGCAAACCAGTAATTGAATGATGAAATAAGCCAGAATCAAAGTGGTAAACACAAAGCTACTGTTGTGTAGGTGTTAATAATTACACATTATAGGTTTTACCTATCAATCAAGCATAACTAATCACTAGATGATGAAAGGCCTTTATTTGATATTTCGTCACATTATCGTTGTCCAAGATTAGCTGTAATTACACGTGACCTTAAGCTGTTGTTAAGCGTCAGATATGAAAAAGTAGAAAGCCTTGTACCTATTAAAGTGGGAAGACTATTGACATGCAAGGAAGCAGTTGCAAGATAACAATGACATTTCAATTTTATTGGTTATTGGCTCGAACTTCGACCATAACTTAATTTTAGTTCATTGCATTGGATATTATAACATGAACTCTCATTGTTGAGATTCACGTATTATGACAGTTCAATGAATATATTGGACGCGTGTAGATTCATGTAACTGTTTTTACTTACTTTTGAAAGTAACAAATATTGTTTAAAATAATATAAAAATGAGTTTGCCTTCTGCAGTCGCGAATTATTTATTTGTACGAATTTCAAGACCATGTTATTTAAAGCTTTTATATCGAAAAAGTGCACAAAGATATTTTTTACTTTATAAATTACTTGAAAATCGCTACATCAACTTATGCCAAGCAACAAACGCCCAATATAATACATATAATTACGCTGATCTCTGACAATACGAAAAGCTAAACAACGACAGTTAAAGTAATACTGGTCACATGTAAACTTGACGTAACAAAGAGTTAAAACTTAATGAATTATGGTCTATATTTAACCCCTAAGGCGATCTCTGGTACTATATTATAATAACTATTACTATAAGTCAGTTTCAAAGGATGCGATTTTTAATCGAAATCAGTGTTACGAAGCAACTGATATTAGTCGGAAACATATCAGTACAAAAACTTTTGACATTGAACTAATTTTGTACATTGTTATATGGACAACCTTAAACTGTCAGTCGTGGGCAGTTTAATAAATGGTCTATTCAAATAGCGTGGGTTATCGGTTCTTAAAAATAAAAGAAAACATTTTTAAAGAGATTTATATATTGGCTAAAGTTATAATTATGTATCTATGCTTGTAAATTAACCTTAAGGAGATGTTTTGTATCCAATTTGTTTATTAAGCAAATCACAAAGCGTGAGGGATAAAGTCAAAAGTTTCTTTCAAGGGTATTTTCAAATAACAATGCCGTTCAATATAGATACTTTGCGATTTATCGATATGAGTACCGTTGCAAGTCATAGCATTCGTTAATTAGAGGTCTTAATGTCTTTATATAAGTACAATGAAACGACAGAATACAATTATTATTTCTGTGAATAAAACTATCTTCAATAAAATTGACTTCAAGATGACTACTGACTCTAGGCGGTAGTTGTTTTATTTGCTATGAATTTCTGTAGACTGTAATATTTGTTTAGTATTTATTTTAATCAAAATCGATTAAGTTTTCAGGAAGTTCATGTGTTATGTCTACACCAAATTCTTTAGCTTAGCGTCATATCATATTTTAGTTTGTTTTCTTATTTTTTTAAGCTTTGTGCTGATGTAAACATCACGTCACACAATATGTGAACATTACATTTGTTATTTTATTATTTAACATTACTTTTTGTTTTCTTTTGTTAATTTTCCCCCTTTTTTCGTAGAGCTCCAGTACGGCGCGCTGCTCGAGGGGTGCGGGGGGGAGCTGCCTTCGTTAAGCGCGTGCGCTCCTCACCCCCCGCACCTCGATAAGGCTACGCGCCGCCAACAGAAGGATGCGCGAGCGCAACAAGACAAAATCGCACAAGTTAACATACATTTACACGGTATTGTTTTGTTTTGTTTTTATTTCATTTAATTTCTTTTTTCATGTAAAACATTAATTTATTATTTTAAATTTAATTTTATATTTATTTATACCGCTATTCGTTGCATTTTAGATGTTTCTTCTTGTTCTTTCTATTGTTATTTTAACATTACCTCAATCCTATACTACCTATACCTTTAAATGATAAAAGCATTTACTCAAGACAAATAAAAAAACCAATTACATACCTATTAATTTATAAATATATACCTGATTTCGACTTTTTCAGATATCTAAGTAACCACTAGGGTTCATACATCACATATAAGAAACACTCAAAATAATACAAAAGTAATTCTTTAAAGTGAATCTTAGTTACATTTGTTACAGCCCTGTTCGCTGCAGTTGAACATGGCTACCTTGACAAGGCCCGGAACATTTTGGAGTCCACCGACGTCGATGTTAACAGGTTTGTTATTTATTACACATTTTGTATTGTTCATCCATTATCCAACTTACAAAGCTATGGACTTTGATTTTAATCTTGATAATTGCCAGTCAGATATGAAAATATCTCTTGAATTGCAGTGTCCATAGGAAAATAAATGTATCTATAATATGAACGTATTTACAAAACAAAACAAAACCCTATACCGACCTGTCTGGCCAGCGTGGTAAAGTAGGCCAAAACCTCCTTTCTAAGGAGAGGCCTACGTCCAGAAGTGGACTATTAAAGGCTGTTGATGTGATGTATGTATTTAATAACATATAAGTATGTTATTCAGCAGTCCCTATAGTGCATGGTCTGCCTAGTTTGGAATCAGTCAGCCGTGTGTGAGATATATTATAGGTGGTAGTGATAATTTACCATATCTGCTCTCTATTTCATAAAAAAATGCTACGACTTTTGGAAGCTAATAGTCTGGACTGTTTAAATTATGTCCCTTCCACACACCCATAACAAACTGATTTACTACTATTTGAATTGATCTAATTTCAAATCATTCATTCTCAATGTCTCCTTATTACTCGTCCTACTTCTTCAATACAAATGGATAACCCCAGGTAAATCTATACAATATCTTCTAAACCACGTATCACATTTCACATATAATCGAATGATGTATTGAATAAACGATAACCTATCACAAAAACGAACGAACCTTACAGTAGTCGCATAGAATGTGTAATATCATCTCACCTACCATCGGACGTCAAATCAAATAGCGGGGGCTTATTCATAAAATCAAAGCGCTCTCTTCTCCGGATTCTTGTCAGACACCGCTGTTCTTCAAGTAATCACTTGCACGATTGCAGGAAAGTCGAGGAAAAATGTTACACATAAGTAACAGGTTTATCATTTAACACTTACAAGGAACTTCTAGAAACTCTTGACTCAGTCGCAGGATGTTTGATGTCGTGAGGAGCTTTAAGGCACTAATCAAATGAGTACATACAACGTAAGATAAATTGGTGTAAGTTATAAGTAAGCTTGGACAAGATACATTTGTAAACTTACATATATGACTTGTAGCAACTTCGAGTTTTACTTAAAATTTATGTATTTACGAGTATTCCAAATAGCTGAGCTTATTGTACTTCTTCCAATATTCCTGTAAAATACAAAACACTTCTCAGTGTTCTAAACTATTAATATTAAAGGTAGCTTTTGAAGTGTAGCTCTTAGTGGCAGAAGTGAAAATAAATGCATTGCCAGTGAATTTATCTCTATCGTTACAACTGTGCCGGAACTCTCCACGACTTGTAGCATCTGCACCTGTCACAAAGACAAATGCAGTGTTGTTAAAATTACATTTTGTTGGCGTGCTGATCTGTGTAAATAGTTTGTATACCAACACAACATTACTCTTTAAGTAAATCAAGCTAGCACTAGATATGAAGAGAGAATAGTTTACATAACAGTGATTAGTTTATTTTAATTTGAAACAAAAATAAACCTACCAATTAATTTTCACTATAAGTGAAGTTTTCAGTGTTTTGTTAGAATTTTTTACTATGACAGGAATAATATGAATGCACGGATGGCGTAGTGGTTTAAGCGGTCGCCACGCCGCTTTCTATTGCGCCGAGTGTTGTGGGTTCAAACCCCACATGGGATAACACTTTGTGTGATCCACAAATTGTTGTTCTGAGTCTGGGTGTACTTTGTGTCCGTTTCATGTATGTTTGTAAAGTCCCCCGCGACACAGGATTTATTCCTAGTGCGGGAGTTGTCTTTAAAAAAAATATATATATACTGGACATAAATCAGGTATTACGTTCCATATATATTTTTAGTTTTAAAATGACAGCTTTCTTCATTTCTCTATATAAAGGTAAACTCAAATATCTATAAATTCATAAAATTGCTTGAAATTTAGATCACCTATGGATTAAATTAATTTAACAATAAATTACCAATCGTTATCTGTCAGTGTTGATCTATAAGCCGCTCGCTCAAAAACAATTGATGCCGCTAAAAGACAATGTTTAGTTATTAAAGCATTATTTTATTAAGTTTCAAAGTAAGCAAACAAAAACCCTTTAAGAATTAACTACTATTTTTTTTATTACAAGATCTTAAATGTTCAATATCTTGAATATGGTTATTTTGGGATATAGTATTTCATAGTGAAATCTATCAGAAATGATGTCAACTACAACCCCTTAAAGTATTTAGGTCGACTTACCCAGTAACCCTGTATAATGATTTGAAGTAGGGATTGTATTATAGTATGTAACTTACATTTACTTGCCATTACTCGTAAGAATATAGGTATATGTTGAAAAGGGTTGACAAAGTAATTTAGTAAATATGTCATAATTTATATACACAAGATAGGCAATTTCAAGTAAAACTTCAGTAAATTAATTTACAGAACTTTATCATAATACTGTAGGCGAAAGGCTGTCTTTGAAGGACTCGACTGAACATAATCATGATTCCCTTTTCTTCTCTAGAGAGTAAACTTGTTAGGGACTTACTTCATCATTAGTGTTCTAAGTATAATGTTATTTATTAAGAGTAGGGTAATGTCAAGCCTTTTAGAAGAATATTTCGTAGATACCGCTATCCTTTGGGACATTTCGAAGCTGAAGTTTCTCCTTGAAATTACTATGTTGCTTAGTTGTGGACATTAGGGGTTAAAAGTTAGTGTTTGGAGATGAACAATGCTGCTAGAATCAAAAAAAAGTATTTATGAATATGGTCTATAATCTATATGATCCTTTCATTAAATGTACGATTTTGGAGTGGCAGAAGTATTTTCTGAAATCTTTTTCGTTTGAACGTACCTGAGAAGCTTTTATCAAAAAAAAACTTTACCTTTATACAAGTACTAGTTGACCCGTTTGAATTTCAATATATTGTTTGTGCTCGTCCCATAAAGACTTTATTCCATAAAAAAACTTAAGTACCTACCCATATTTTCATATTTTCTGGCAACACTCTTTGAAACTTTTCTCCCGTGTTCGTACTAATTTAGAACCTAATAAAATTCCTTCAACAAATCTTACAAACAGAATTCATTTTTTATTTTAATAAATTTTCTCACTCAAATCTGATTTCTTTGATCATGTAGATAGTAACAGGTTCGCCCTACATATTTTTATAATTTCAATAAAGAATTCTTCCCATTCCGTGTGGTGACGGATGAAGAATACATAGTGTGACCACCCCTATTCATCCAATAGGTGTCATAAGAGCCGTCTAAGGGAGCACATACGCAGGACAACAGCACTGCAAAGAGAAGAAAAACTTGAAACAAACCCTATACCAACCCGTCTAGCCAGCGAAGTATAGAGGGCCAAAACCTTCTTTCTAAGGAGAGGCTTATGTCCAGCAGTGGACTATTAAAGGCTGTGGATAATGATGATCCTTGCCAATTCTAAGGGGTAATCCTAGACTCCTAACTGGCTTTAAGATTTGGCAACAATGCTTGAAATATCAGAATTTAAAAAATCACAATCAAAGAAAAAATGTATCATTAATATCCATTTGGTTTGGTTACGTTTTTTCTTCACACCACAATTGCTTTATTAAATTATTGTTTCTTTTCAGTCTTAACGCAGATGGACTTTCGCCCTTGGATGTGGCTGTTCTGGCTACAAACAGACAACTGGCCAAGATGCTTATGGAGTTTGGTGCCAAAGAAGGAACGCAATGTAAGTACTATTGTTTTAAGAAAGAATATTTTTGCCTGCTGTACAATCAAGAGTCATAAGTGCAGTACCATCGTGATGTTCATATTCGCTCGCGCTGGTCCTGTGCCTATCTCTGTGTGTGATGTTTCAATGCACACACATTATAACCAGACAATACTGACGTATACGAAGATTGGTGATTAGATAAAATACACCTACTTATATTATAGTTTTTCTTCGTATCGAACTCGGTGGTAGCATCTATCTGAAAGCAATGCTAAAATTCATCTTTCTAGTTATTATCGAATTAGCGATTAGCGAATTGTAGCAAATCATTATTCGAAAGTGGTGACGGGTCGACCATTATTGCCTGTTGACTTTTAGGTATTTTTGTTTTCATGACAGTTTTTTTTATTATGTTCTTTTAAAATAACTGTAGTTTACGGAAGAAATGTGTAATAATATAAAAGTTATTATTTCTCAAAAGATTATTTATTTATGCCGTTATTGACCTTTAAAACAATATAACTTTGAAATTAAAAACATTTAAGTATAATAGTTGCGTAAACCATTTAGCTTGCCTACACAATTTGTTCTTGTTAATTTATAGAGGTTTATAGCTTAATTTGTTCATTTTCTTAAGGAAATGAAGATTGTAACTTAACCTCGATATTATAATAAACTTTTTACTATCACAGCCAGATCATCCCCTAAATTGCCCTGAGAAAAAAGTAATTCTATTTAAATATCACTTTTTTTTAAATAATATTTAGTGAGTTAGTGTATTCACTAACTAAAATGACGTTGACGCATGGAGGCCACTAAACCCCATACGTCTTCTATAATTTTTAGATCAGGGCATCGCGCTGGCCATGGAATAACCTTAACATCCGAATGTTGACGAAACCATTCACTAACAACTAGCACAGTATATCAGACAGTTATCTTGAACCAAACACTTTCACTAATGTCTACCACGGGATAAATATTGTCCACAGTACTTAGCATTATGTCGTTTAAACCCTCGACGTAATTGGGATCTAGTTGGTATGAAACTATTTGTTTCATATACACCAACCATAAACCGACGCTGAGATCGATTAATTAAGTAGCGGCTAGTTCAAAAATATTCTCACTCAAAAGAAGGGTTTTAAGTGCAACTAGTTATAATGCTATAACTTCGTAAAAGGACTGGACTTACGACCGCGCCCGTAAATCTTCTATGATTGTTAGGTTATAACAGACGACATTAAAATAGTTATTTACTTACTTCGTATGACATAACATTTATCTTTGCTTTGAACATCAGTATGGATTATAACCTTAATAGCTTTCACTGTAAGATGCACCTCAACTGTGTTACATCATAAATATATTTCAACAATCCGATATCATAACTCGGATTTTCTTATCGATACCGATCCATCAGCCAGTTTAACCAAAATGGTTTGATTAACCTGACATTGAGTTAACGTGACCTGTCAGTACAGTAAACGTAACTTGTGTGTTTACCCTTTAAATGATGTAGGTTATGCACTTTACAAAATTAATTCGAACCCTACAAAGGTATAAATTAATTAATTATTTTTTAGGGATCGGCAAGATTTGTTCTGCAAGATATCCAAGAATCGTTATTAAGTAACGGTCACGACTACTAAATATCAAACAATGACCATAAAGTAGATTCTTATGTTTAAAATAAATCATTTTGTGTAATGTTTGACTGCACGGATGGCGTAGTAGTTTAAGCGGTCGCCACGCCGCTTCCTACTACGCCGAGTATTGTGGGATCAAACCCCACATGGGAAGACACTTTGTGTGATCCACAAATTGTTGTTCTCAGTCTGGGTGTTCTTTGTGTCCGTTTCATGTATTTTTGTAAAGTCCCCCGCGACACAGAATATATTCCTAATGCGGGAGTTGTCCTTAAAAAAAAAATGTAACATCTTAAAGTACAGCATGAATTTTCGTCCATTATCAACGTAATGTATTTATTGTTTTAATATCTTCAAAACGATATTGAAAGGAAATGATTTGACAGTAGCTAGGTATGATGTCATGCCATAGTATTTCATACAAAAACGGACCGCATCCATCATTTGGATGTTTAATAAAAGATACTGATTTTACTTGACAGTCATCTACCCCATTCGAATGACTCATCATTCAAAAACAAGATATGATAAAAGCAAATTTCATCTAGAAGTGATAAGAACAAGTCCTCTTACAGTACTCCTACTACGATTTCATATCTTAGCCACTGATTTAAAGTATTCGAAACGATTTCTGACGTCACAAACGGCAGTTGAAAACTAGAGCCGACCAAAATTCCCCCATGTATCATATCACGAACCAAATAACGTAGAACTTTTGTTTATAACTGAAATATTCCAGTCTACAACCAGGTTATATTCTATGTCACAATGAATACTGAATTTCCAAACGACTTTCACTGGCTCGGAACATTTCAGCGAGCCCGTGACAAATCATTGGTAACAAGGTATCGGGCTTGTTAGCACAGTTTATGTTACATTTTGCTGATATTTCAAATCTTGCTACATTTGAACTAACCCAAGGCTTTTAAGGTGGGGTTTGACTTGAATAAAAGAAGTAGGGTATGATCGAGACGATAGAGGAGAATTTTAATTTAGAAAATTATCTTTCATCTTTTAGTTTGGTTATTGATTTTTTAGCTTAAGTTTAACTTTAGATACTATTATAGCATCAAAGGCCACCAAAACACTTGCACTCTTGAGTTGCAAGTGTCCATGGGCGGCGGTGATCACGTTCCATCAGGGTCTCAATTCTGCTGTTCTAATATTGTATCAAATGGAATGTCGTCGGAATAGTTTTGCACTTTTCGTATTCTACTAACAATGTAAGACCAATGGCCTCTCACTGACTTGTCACTGAACTGCCACTGATACAAATGTCGTCAATGTTTTTCTTTTTTTTTTAGTTTCTTTAAAAAGACAACTCCCGCATTAGGAATACATCCTGTGTCGCGGGGTACTTTACAAACATACATGAAACGAACACAAAGAACACCCAGACTCAGAACAACAATTTGTGGATCACACAAAGTGTCGTCCCGTGTGGGGTTTGAACCCACAACACTCGACGTAGTAGGAAGCAGCGTGGCGACCGCTTAAACCACTACGCCATCCGTGCAGTCAAATGTCTTTGGAATAGGTTGGTAAACGGTACATTTTAAACTTTTAAGGAAATGATATATTTAATTTTCCAGGTATGGCAATGTTGTTGATATCACCATTACCTGTACGATGACCTATATTACTATATCGGCAGTCTATTGACACTTTATGTTAATTAACTGAAATTATGTTAGTAGAATACTGATATTTTGGCCGATGTCAATGGCATCTCAATAGCGTGTCAATAGAATCACATTGGCTTGTCGTTAACAGAAAATAGCAAATTTGAGGCCCAGGTGACATGTCTAAAGGATTGCCCACTATATTATATTATACTCGTATAAAGAAACATACCTATGATGTATGAGGATGAGCTATGATTCACAGAAAACCAGTGTTAAGTAATTCATTCTTCTCTTTTCACCGAGTGAGTGTGATTACCGTAGGTCTAACCATTCTCCCCCCCTTTCTGGAGGGGGGCACTTGTTTCTGTTCAATTGCAGATGTCATGGATGCTTGTAGTCACTTCCTATCACGTGACCCGTTTGCTTTTTTGCTACATAAACCATAAAAACCGAATGTTAATAATAATCATCTCAGCCGAAAGATGTCCACAGCTGGACATAGGTCTACCCCCAAGGTTCGCCACAACAACCGATTATGTACGGTCCTGTAACGTTCAGTTTAAATTATTAGCTTTGTCTTTATTTACTCAGTTTTGCGATACCTTCGTTTGTATCGTCAAATTTACATAGCAGATAACAATCTTCGTACGATGACTACGTAATATCTAATCAAAGTCTCGCCTTTCTTGGGTTTTGACATCACAACACGTAACGCAAACTCCGAAAAAGCCGGGTAAATTTATAATTTAATACCTATAAGGAAAAAATATTATACCTTAAGGAAAATGTAATGAATACTATAAATAATTTTTAGAGATTGCAGAGATTTTGGTATAATAACAATTAAAATACAAATATTTTGAGTAGGAAGTTTCCCATCCTCCTAAGGCAAATAAACTCTTATGACCAGTGGCTATAAAGTCTATAATTTGTAGCAATAAATTACTAAATTTGTCATTACTTAGCTTCACACATCCGTATTTTTACAATAAGAAATTTACATGTGACAATGTAATAAGTATAATCTTAAGTAATATTATACGTCAAAATGTAAGGTCACTTCTTTGTTTGTCACGTTTTGCTTTGGCTACAAACTTAAAATTTTGGCAGCTTTTTATGTTCCTAATCTCCCACTAAGAAAGCGGGTAAAATAAGAAATGAGCGGTTGTATGAAAGTTCTTTATTTTCAAAGTTAGAAACACGAAGTTAGAAATAATCACATGAGCGAAAACGCTGGCTCTCTGTTACATAAGGTGGATTAAAATTATATTCGGTAAAATTTAATCGTTTAATTCGCCTCTGTCTACCCTTTCAGGGATAACGACGTGAGTATGTATATATGTACACATACACACGCACACACACGCACGCAAATACGCACGCTCGCACAAACATACAAATACACCCACACACACATTTAAAACAAACACGAGCACGATTTAAATTCAGTTACCCGTTTTGTTTCTTTTCTGTATTTTTTTTATGTTATATTCTCTTAAATTTTTAGTGTCAACTCCAATTTTGTACAGTTAAAATACTTTTTTTTCGCGACATGTAAGCCTGGTTATCCGTAACACAAGTATTTTACTTAGTTTGGAAATCAGTCTCCCACTATAGTAAAAAGGAAAAAAATATATATAAATACGAGTATCTACATGTATGTTATAATATAGTGTATACAAATAATATTTTCTCACTGCAGACGTAAAACATCTTACCTTACCCATTACTTATGCAATCT